GTACGGACGATCAATTGGGTCATCTACATAAAATATGAGTGCAGCCATAGCAACGCAAAGACACAATGCACTAACCGTGAATTGTATAAACATAGGTAGTGAAGTGATATCATGAATTAAATCGAAAAGTCTAGAAGAAAATGTTTAAAAAATTTTATAAATTTTGTAAGAAATAAGTAGTTACTTAACTAACTTGTATAAATTATTTTGATCTTTTATACACTTGTCTAATTCTAGCTCATTATCGGCGATTTTTGTCACACTGTAACCAATCTTTGACACTCTCATGCCCAAAATTTTAATATGTCCAGATAATAAACAAAGTGCCATCGATGGAAAACAATCATCGACATAATTCTGTAATAGCTGGAAACTTATACCCACCATTTGATACAAACTGGCCAATAAATATTTTAATATGGATTCACGCCAATTAAATGGAAACCAAGCAGGATATAATAGATTACGTTCCTCTTTTAAAATCACTGACAAGCTACCAGTCACAATGACTGGAAAATAAATTATAACAAAACTGTAAGCAATATTTCTCATATCTGTACGCAATTTTCCAAATTCCTGCTTTTCATCCACACTTTGAACTCTGGCATCCAACTTCTCTAGTAGCATTTCCATTTCACGTACCTTATCCAATTTGATGGCGTAGATGAGAAACTTTAAGGTACATGCGGTACACGTAACGCTAATTGCAAAATTCTTTAAATTATCCGTTGCCGTTTGATTTTGAAATAATGACATTAACAAATGTATAGGATAATAAAGAGTAACCACAATATTCAGTATGATGCCGTAAAGTAAATAAGCTGATTTATTTTTGACCTTTTGTCGTGCTATACCCAAAATTTTCCAGCACAGCCAATGTGGCTTGAAAAAATCTGTACTTGCTACTGCGTCCATATTCGCTTAAGTGAAAATAAATTTTGGTATTTTTTTTCTTTACCTTTTATAAGGTTTTGATGATGGAAATTTAAGAAATTAATTGTGTAATTAACCATAATTACTCAATTAGGCACGCATGCAATGTGTTTACTTAATTATTGATGCGTTAATGTATAATGGCGTAGGTTAATTGATTCAAACATGGAGCTTTTAATGAGAAACAGATTAACAATAATTATTCTTTTTTCACATTTTATAAATACATTTGCAGTGTACTTATTTGTGTGTTGTAATTATACAAATGTTGTAATATTAATTCTAGTGTTAAATCTAGAACATAAAGGTATTGACCAAAGGTGAAAAAAATATATAGTTCACTATTAAAACACTGACGGAATTATACTCATCTAAAGAATTTGCTTCGTCAAGATGCTTAAAGTAGTGCGGAAGACTTGAAATCGAATTATTTGTGAAGCAATAAATTAAATCTCATCTATCCGCTGAACATTCACAGCAAATTAACAAAACTCCAAGTTCGAACATATAAATCAAATACGGCTTTGAGTCAGCTAACACTGACTCTGAGCAACAAATTTGACAGGGCACGAATACAACTCTTGATACTTGCAGAGTCAAAAAATTATTCAAAAAAATTATTTTCAAAACCACTGATGATGAGTATTTGGCAATACTTGAAAACTGTATGGTCAGTCAAAAATTGAATTAATTAAAAATGAATTAAAATTTTTGTTGTTGCAATTCAGTATTGTTCGAAACCTCTCGTTTTAAATTTTCTTTATTTTCTAATCACTGAACATATTTATTTACGTATTATTTATTTATTATTTACTCAACTTTTATTACGTGAAATGTTTATCATAATACAATTGTGGAAAACCTTTTCTCTAATTACGTGTCAAATTTCAGTATTTTCAGTTCTCAGACACCTGGCGTACCCAGATCAATTAATATGAATCAATATGAATTGTTGCAACAGAAAAAAAATTCTTACATTTTCGAATAGATATACGCCTGCATGTGTATTATCAATGAAGATAGTGTGTACTGGCTGTTTCCTTACTAAAAGTCATAAATACATGATATAATAAATTGGTTCACAAATAAAAGAAATTAGTTGTGGAAAGAACATGGATGGCTTTATATTAACATATGCATAAGATATCAAAGGAGACTACCCGAAAAACGCCCTGAAACCATATTTTAGGACTAAGTTGAAAAAATCTCATAATAAATAATAAATTGGTTCACAAATAAAAGAAATCAGTTGCGAAAAGAACATAGATGGCTTTATATTAACATATACATATGATATAAAAAGAAACTACCCGAAAAACTCCCTGAAACCATATCTTAGGATTAAGTTGAAAAAATCTCAGCCATTCGACTCAGAAAGACTTCCAGCTGAATTCGTATTCCAGTTATCAGGAGTGAAACATAAAAAGCTTAAAATTTAAATATCTTAATTTTTCAAAGCTTAAATTATTGTTTAAATAGATTCAGTTATCTATTAATTTTTAAAATCATACATCTAATTGAATACCTTAAATATATAACTCTATTCAACATTTATTATTTTGAAAGATTCCACATCATTTTTGTAGAATATCTTGTAGTTAGCGTAAGCGTATTAAGCTACCGACTTCTCTTACGACTGATTTTAATACTACATCTAAACAAGATTTTACAAATTTGGCAATTAAATATCTTATCTTAACTTGTAACAAAGTTATTTTCAAATTTTTCGTATATCAAAACGTTATAACTTACCAACATTTCTTGACAAAAATTTTTCATCTACCACAGAGCCTTTACCTGCCACCGACTTATAAATTGTGCCCCCTACGGGTATTTTTGTTGACACATAACTAATACCAGTTTTGGTGTAGTTAGGACTCTATTTACATTAAAACACGAAGAAGGTTGAATCTATAATTAATACTTATTTGGTGTAGTTAGGACTCTATTTACATTAAAACACCAAGGAAGTTCAATCTGGTTCCCTAACTTAAATTATCATTTTTTTTTTGCAAACTGAGACAACAAATAGCAGTTTGAACTACTACCAAAAACAACAAATATTTTTGAACACTTTCTTCCTTGCAATAATCACGAATATTCTTTTTTCCATATCTGTAAACATTTAGTTTGTCAAGGCACATCCTGCAGATACACTTTACATATGGCTAAAATGCAAATTTATGTACTCATCCACAAAAACGCTGGCTTCGTTCAATATGTGCGCATAATTTCCAACTGTGCCAGATACTAGTTCATCTGCATACAATCGATTTATTGCGATTTGCACATACGAGTAGAAACCGTAAATGAAACTTTATATCAGTTAAGGAAAATTGATTTAACTAAATTAAATCTCTCTGCCAATTCAATTGACACTTTGAATCCTTTTATGCTTTTTAAACAAAGATTCTCAATGAATATAATATAGCTTCATATAATTTTATCAATATCCTTTAAAATGTATCTATCATTAACATTAAATTTCATTTACGTTTGTTTTTCGCCTTTGCTTTACTTTAAATTTAGTATTTTAGCTTTATTTTTATTTGGGTTTACAACCACTTAAACGCATAGTGAGCTTTCGGTGCAAGTATATGCCATTAGCGCTATACGTGAGGAGCCTTCCTAACTACGCTGTTTATTCCTTGCCTCACAAAAACACCGCATAGATGCAACACATGATAAGTCACGAACCGAGTAACATGCACATTTGTTTTCTTCGTAACACTTTTAGAGCCACGTGGTACATTTTTATAACCTCTTATGGAACAAAGAGACTGTGTCCTATTATGTGGCAATGCTGCATAACATACCCGTATACCCGTATTGCACACACTCAAAGTCAAAATTAAGATACTTTTAACTAGATAAAGTATTATGGAACATTAAGTACGACTACAAAAGTGTAAATGGCTCAATGTCTTCATTCTCAAAATTTTTATAGTTTTAAATTTTTATTTCATCTTATTAAACTTAATACATACAGTGGTGCACAGACAGGGTTGCGGCTAGAGGGAATATAATATATTTTTTGCCATAATTCTTTGCAGTTCACAAAATTAATAAAAATTAGAGGATTATTAGACGGAAGAATAGAGGTGAACTTTTTTATAAAATAAAATAGCAATTTAATAATGCACATAGCACAAAAACTGCAGACCTATTTTTCAGTTTCCTGCGCCACGCCCTTCTCAAATTAGATTAACATATTTCTATTTTTAAATTTGTTTTTAAATTCCTTCCGTATAAATTATCGATTAAATAAAAATAATATTTAGTTTTGTAGAATTTTTTGAAAAAAATTCCAAAATAAATGAAAAATATTTATTACTATCAACTTATAACTCTGAAATCCTACAAAACAGCTTAAATTGATTAAGAGACTTAAGTTTATCGTTCCAAAATTGTATTTGGTCGATATAAATTCTAATATTGAAAAATATTTAAACAGTTAGTACAGTAAACTCGACAAAATCCGAGTATTAACTAATATAGAACGCATCTCTAACGCAGAATTGTAGAAAAAAGCACAAATACAAAGCGTCGAGACCGAAATCAAAACACGAGAATGGCAATAAATCGGACATAGGCTACGCAAGTCGAATTCCTGTATCGCTAAGTAAGCCCTAAAATGGAACCCGTAAAGCAGTTGCCGGCCTGGCGCTGCTTCAAAAACATGGCGAAGGACAATTGATGCCGAAATAACATCTGCGCGCTACTCATGGAACGACATCTGCACGGCAGCTCCAAATAGAATACGGTTCAGAGAAATTGTTGAGGCCCTATGCTCCACTGAGAGTTAACGAAACAAAGATTAAGAAGATCTAATATAGATAAAATTTGTTGCAGGAAAACTATGCAGGAACAAGTAAACTTTCTTCATCAATCAGCACAAGATGAAAATATCTGTTAACGATAAATAAATCTTTAATCCAATATTTTTATAAATATTGTCATAGTCACCATAGAAAGACAAATTATAGATTAATTTCTAACTTTCTTTAACCTTTTTATTAAAAGAAAGTTCATTTATTATTATTTACATAAATTGCTTTCCGAAATTAGTTTGCAATTTTTTCCAACGATACAGATAAATAATTGTTTAAAAGTTCTTAATCAAAAAAATATTAATATTATATTATATACATTATATATTATATTATTACATTATATTATATATATTACATATAATAATGTATATAATTATTCATATTATATTATATAATTACATTATATAATTCATGACGGGCCATGATTTGGCACCTCATAAATGTTTTTTATTTTTCGAAGTCGAAATCGCCAATTCAAAGAAAATGTATCGAATCAGTTATGGTCACTAGAGAAAAATCACCAGTTAAGTTGAATGCCATACTTTTAGCAATCAGATTTCCATTGCCATACAACGGAACAATTTCAGATATTCTATTACCTTTTTTTTTGCAGCAAGGAGGACTGTAATGCCTACCAACTGATCCCATAGCGGTCCCAGTTTGATCTGTTTTCAATCATTTTTTATGTCACCGTCCTTGAATAGAAAACACCAACTTACACTGCTACCGCGGACGAAAGTGATCTGTTTTTTTTTTGGTCCATCCCAAGTGGCATAGACTATACCCATCAGATAGCGCGGAACTTGCTTTTCAGTGTGTCGAGGATATCAGCCAATCACAGATTATAAACATAGATTAGGAAGCGGAAAGTATAACTCTTGTGCAGATTTTCCAATTCCAGAAATATTTTTTAAAAAGTGAAAAAATAGAAAATAAAATAGAAAAAAATAGAAAATTGAAAAAAATGTAAAACAGATATAGAAAAAAATATTTATAAACCGACAGTTTTCAATTTTAAAACAGTACGATCTTTTGTTTAAAATAGAATGCCTTCTTGTTCAAGAAGGACTTAATGCCATTTAAGGTTAAATAGTGACCTTAGTCTTACCTTAATTATTCTAAACAAGCGTGATGGATTGCATTAAGCCCACTTTGAGGGTGACAAAATTAATTTTGATTGTTTGATGATTGTTTTGAATTTATTTCAGCCATCGTGGATACTTTTTACACTTTAAACCTCTCCAAGACTTGTCCCGATGAGTGAGGCCGTAACCTCCACTCCATTCCACCTTATAACCGCGGTTTTCGTGACTCCAGTCACAAAGTTTACCGCTAAACTTACCTACGTTCATCTGCTCTAACCCCACCCCCTTCTCTAGAATCCAGTTTCCCTAATGTACACCCTTGCTTTCTGGCTTAAATAAATCTAGCTCGCTAGGTACTAAGAGGTGGTTTAGTGGGTTCAAGTCTCACACGGTGGCTTTCAATGCTTTAGTGAACTTTATTTCAAAAAAGAATATTGCTAAATAATTTATTTATTTATAAACGTTAATAATATTATAATTTAATATTATAGTATTTCAATTAGTATTAGTAATTAGTATTTTAAATATCTAAACTGTTATTACATTTATTTATATCTTAAAATATATATTCTATTCTTAGTCCAAAGTATTAGAAATATTTTGAAAATTGATTTTTATTATAAAAAAAAATTTTTTAGCTTTAATAAAGCAACAGTAAAATGTAGTGTACTTGTTAAGCAAAGGAAAAAAAAAATTTAGTGCACAAATCCACAAATCCACAAATCTTGGAAATTTAATATTAAATCCGCCAGCATAACTTAACGCAATTCTGCTATCAGTTATGCAGTTTGTTGGCTCTTAACCCGTATACTCTACATGCAAACGTGATGAAATATTGTAGAATAAGTCTTTTGGGAAAAATTTGCACTGTATTCGCGTAACGAGATAAAATTGAACAAATGAAATTGCAGAAAAACTATTTCTGCTTTTCTGAACTAGTAAAGATGAAGTCACATACTCTATACTCGATGACATTGACACAACGTTCTGTAATTGCTTTATCTTTCTATAAGTGCATTAATACGCTTTCTATTTTAAACTTGCATATACATTTGACCGCTGCAGATATCAGATGAGTAAGCATCCATTAAGTTCATTGAATTAAAATGTACACAAAAGCTTCACAAAGAAAAAAAATATTCTTATTCTAGTTTCTTTTGATAAATAGAAAAAGGGTTCACTCAATATTAATATGTTGAGGTCTTAATCGATTATAATTTTTCATGTATTCTTGTTTAAAATGCGGACCTTTATGCGAAAAAAGAGACAGAAGAATCATTCATTGGTCCAACACCCTTCTTTGGCTTCAATATAACGAACATAAAACATGAGACCAAAAAATGGATCCAACAAAGTATCAATGAATACTGGAATAGAATAGACGGCCTATATCCTTCCAAAAAATTCTTAAATTTTGATGCCAAAAGAGCAAGCAGCGCTCTCAACCTAAACGATAAGAGTCTAAAGACACTCTCTGGTGCACTAACAGACCACGCCGCATGTAACAAACACGTACACAAAATAGGTATATCCGATACTAATATTTGCAGATTCTGCTGTTATGAGGAAGAGTCTATGGAACATCTGAACACCAACTGTGATCCACTAAGCCATAGAAGAAACAAAATTTTAGGTGCATACCGACTAGAGGATAAAGACCCTCGAAAACTCCCTCCGAAGGAGCTGGTTCGATTCAAGATACTAAAAATCTAAATACAAAAAGATACGCAATAGATCAAACTGGTCGCAGTGCATGGGGGGCTTAGCCTAACCCGAAACTCCCAAACACTATTAACATTACCACAGAGAGAGTGCCGCTTTTTGCGGATGCAACCATATTCCAGTAATGAAAGAAGAGAAATTAGAGCGAGAAGCTTAATATTTAGGCGAAACTAAATTCGTTTAAGCCAGAAAACATGGGCGTAAATTGGTGAAATTGGGAAATAGTGAAGGGGTAGGGTTACAGCGGAAGCTCAGGGGAACTAACAGTAGACTCTGTGACCAGGGTCACGAAAGTCACGATTATAGAAAGGGATGATGGAGGGATCGGAGTCCTACTCATCGAAATAAAGAGAGATGTAAAGTTTATGGCGCAAGGCCTGAACGAAGTCCACAGTGAGAGTGCTGAAGACTAAGATGTCGGGGGAGGTCGTGGTACCTGGTGAGATGCCTTCGGGCGAGTAAAATTAGGTATTCGTTCTTTATCCAAGTAAAAAATATTTCAGTATTTGGCTGTTATTGGTATTAAAGTTTCATCTTTATTGACTATTCACTTTTTCCCAGAATTTTGTATCTAAATTTTTAAATATTTTTTATTAAATGATACTACATGACATGTAACAAGGGATGTAATAAGTTACATGTTATAATATTTACTAACATGCTACTAAAGTTTTTCAAGGGATGTGCTACTATTCTTAAGCAATTAGTTGTGACGTCATAGTCATTAGTACTTTATAGTCTTATATAGCAAATCATTATAAATCATTATATATAAAAATAAAATAATTTTTTATTCTTATTACTATTAAGTTTTCTTTAGCAATTATCTATATTGTCCATATGCATAAATTTTTGAATTTTAATATTTCCATGCTTGGACTTCTCATAACCTTGGTTAGCAAACATTCATTGAAACGATTCATTGGTTCCTCCACTTAAATTTGAATGGAACTTTTAATGTTATTCAAAATATTCAAAATATTTGTGTGGGAACTAGACCACATTTAAGTATTAGACTTTTCATTTAACATACATGGTTGGCAAATATTCATTGGTTTTGGATATATTTGCCGAAAAACCATTTATGTTGGTTTTTTTAATTTTTGTAAATAAAAGGATGCCTCGAAAGTTTCAGTGAAAAGTATATGGAATATTTTACCATATATTTTCTATATCAAAATTTATAGAGAAGTTTTAGTAGAGTGCCTGTTTATTTGACAGTTAATCAGGTTTTTTTTAATTATTATATTGATTATTATTACTTATACACTTTTAAATCAAAAAAAAATTAATTATTACTATTATAGTTAGACGGAGCGTTTAATAAAAATAGGGAAAGTCGCAACCTATAGGTGCTGCTGATTTATGAAATCTTAAACGTAAGATGCAAAAGTTGTCTCAGTATGCTATGGGTCGATACCAACAATGCTGGTTTGCAAAAGACGAGAATCGAAACGTGGCATGCAGCACAAAGCTCCAAGAGAGGTGAAAAAACTATTAATAAAGTGCAAGATCACTCATATCTGGGTGAAGCGTGGGTGCCATGAGATGGTAATGAGTTGATTCTTTTTTTATTGTGCACAGTGAGATTTAGATCACTCCTGATACTTTGGACTGAGTTGAAAATGAAATGATAGCAATAAAAGAACAATATACCAATCTTCAAATGAAAAACCTACTAGTCCTAATGGATAAGTCAGGGATAACAAAACTAAATAAGATTTAATAAAAATTGAAAAAGAATTTGAATGTTAAGTGCAACCTAAAAAAATGATTTTAAAGTAATACCTTATCGAGCAATACAGATATATCGTCATATGTTGAGATATACCCAACATTTTTTCCACTTTCGTTTTAATCATTACATCATTACAGCAAACAATTTCTTTGCAGATATGTTAAAATATATAATATTCATTAAAATTTCATTTGAAGCACCTCATACGGACTTACACAATCCATTAAATATTGTTCGGAAACCACATTGTCATTACTTTATACACTAATTATATTCCATTCCATATCAAGAATACCAAGTTTACCCTAAAGTTAAGAACTGTTTTATATGATTTGATACGATGTACGTATTTATAAAAAATGTAAAAAGATCTCTACTAAACTACTACAAAAATGTTAGATTACTCTAATAAAGTTCGATTGTGCAACAAAATTTGACAGATCGAAAGAAAATCTTGATTGAATCCAGATTCATCAATCGAAAACGTTATAAGATATTATTTCAGTACACATTACCTGTTCTTTACATATAAACTAAGTAGCCAACATTTTGGCAATTTATTTAAAATTAATATATTTTTAAACTTATTTAATTTAATTACTAAAAAAAAATTGTCTAATTATATCCAAATTAAACCAAAAAAAATTTAATAATAAATTAGCAGGTTTTTTTTACCAAAAATACTTGTCTTTTGGTAGCATTTTTTCCGAAAAGTTCTCACAAAATGCCATGCATATTAAAAACAACACAACTCAATTTAGCTCCACGTGAGGCGAATTTAATTGGCGGAGCTTACTGTCATCACGCTCTTGAAAGGCCTGAACCATTTTCTGCTACGACATTTTTTCCAACTTATAGGAAAGTACCATTAACCCTGAAACCTTATGCACGTCATGATCAACCGCCCCCGGAAACTGAGCGCAGTAAATTTCATACGGAAGAACTTGTACGAATTTCGGAATTTGACTTTCGGGACTACTATACACGTACTCTAGTGGAGAGTCAAGAACTAGGTTGGATACGTAACTCAAAAGTAGTTTTAGTCGATAAACCATTACCGAGAGTCTTTATTACTTCAGAAATTACGCGAAGGGTTATTTCATTAAGTCCATTCTTATCTCATGAGATTATTTTAGATGACCCATATTGTATTTGTACTCCTCATGGACCGAAGGATCACTGGAAAATTGTTTGAGTGCACAAGGTAAGATTAAAAAATAAAATATATTTACTTTACATTAACTTTGTTAATATTATAGCATTTAAGTGGCAAAACGATTGGGTAATAAAATATGAAGTTGCCCTTATGGGTAATATGTGCTGAGACATATTTTTGTAATACTTTTTCTAATATATTTTATAAATGATTTTGTAAAAGAAATAGGTAAATAAGTAAAGAAATATTTTGCATAATAAAACAAGTACTTAAAAAATGTATTAATTTCTTTATTTAAAGGTGATGTAGACATTTGCCGTTTTAAAATGTATTGCAAATAATAAAGAACAAAAAAGTGAAATGAGGAAAATTTTAAAGATAATCCCATCAATTTCTGTAATTTAATTTTGAAAAATCGAAATTGTAACAAATTTATTATCAAACAGATAAAACCAGTCTGAGTGTGTTACAGTCTCATTTATCTAATTTCAAACACTCAACTCTCGATGACAAGATATGAGTTTAATTAAAGACACAATTGCCTTAAATAATTCTTAAATGTTATGTCGGCTTAATAGGAAACCGAGTCCATCCTAATAACGTTGCTACTAATATTTAAATATATTGATAAATGATTCGGTCACATATAGCTGACAAATCCTTCAGCGATTTTTATAAATTTTATGGACATTTTATGAACAGTTGAAAAAAACTAACAGATCAATTATTTTGTTCACTTTTGTTTGCTAGTAGATACATCATCCTGTTGAGACAACTTCAAGCAAAGAAGTGTAGATAACTTTATATAATGCCCGATATATAATAATAATAAGTCATTTGATTCCTTACTTAGAATAAAGTCTTTACAAGATCTTCATAATGCTTACTATGATAGACTATATGTAGCAAAAATCGACAAAATATATATTATATTGCAATTTAATATATATCTATTGCAATTTCATATGCTTGGTACACATATATATATCATATATCAAATACATATTTTAATGTCCTTTAATGGAGATTGATTTTCTTTGCTCATACAAAGTTTGTCATCTTGCTTGGATGAATCAAATGATGTGCTTTAAATTCGTTTTATGCTTACAAATGTTTGCTTTATTGAGAATTTATTCAAAAAACAAAGCATATATTAACTTCCTATGTTTAAATAACCGTTTTAAGATTCTTTGATTATTTAGAAACCTATTAGTGTTCCAAATAAGGTGATAAGATGTTCAATCATTGTGTTCCATCATGACAATGCCCGACTGCATGCATCTTTGATGACTCGAAACCAATTTACTGAACTTGGTAGGGAAGCTTTGATGCATCTATTCATATAGCTCGGACCTTGCTCCGTCTTACAACTGTTTGTTTCGGTGTCTGCAAAATTTTTCTAATGACAAAAAATTGACCAGCTAAACAGCGGCTGATAATCACTTGGCCAAGTTATTTCCCCGATCAACTTTTTCCACACTAAAGCAATTAAGAAGCCACTCGAAAAATAGCAAAAGGTCACGGAAAATAAGGGCTCAATATATGTTAACATAATTAAAACTAATTTTCAATAAAGAAAATTTTTATTCAAAAAAATATAAAAATTTATTTTTTATATTAGCTAATATTATCGAAAATAATTAATCATGCAGCTTTAGATTTTTAGTAACTTCTTCTAGTCGCTCAACTAGTACTAATTGTAGACTTATTCTAAAGTCGTATGTCGACGTTCTTTATGTTTTGTTTCAGGTTATGGCATCCAATAGTTTGTTGAGAATTTTCAACAGTTTATACCTTTCTTGTAGTTTTTTTCATTCAAAAGAGCACATTTTTTTGACCAGATTTTATTTCCATTTTCTGCAAAGGTCTTTCTCTTATCATTTCACAAACTGAATATATTCGCTATAAATATTATTATGAAAATAATAAATATTTTCTAACTTATATTTCCACTCTGTGAAAAGTGCTTTTTGATAAATTAATTGATTATAATAAATATATAGATGATTTCACGATGATTAACAATATACTTGTTTACAAAAAGAATATAATAATTTTACCGAATACTCATATATATTCAAAATTAATATTTTTATATCTAAAATAATAGTACAAATTAATTTAATTTTAATAAGCTGATAACTGAAATCAATGGGTCGTGAATAATAAAATGGTGAAATAGTAAAATGGTGTCTACTTAATTATTTATTTATTGCATTCATATCACTGATTTAAAATTTGTCGGAGTGTTATTTGGATAATAAAATTTTTAATTTTAATTTTAAAAATGAAATTAAATTTTATACAATTATAATATTAATTTGGTGGAATTTTGAATAAGTAATTAAATTATTTATCGCTGTTATTATGTTAATTATTATTTTTATATAAATTTATTTGTTTACAAAATGCATGAATAGTTAATTTTAATAAATGCAAACAATATTTAACTGTAATACTGTGATGTCAAAAATGTCGTATCATTTGATATAAAATAAGTATTCAAGCATTTTGCATTGCCATAAATATTTTTGATTTAAATATTTAAGATCTTTCACTAGTAACTTTTGCTATCAAAGAATAATTTGTTTATAACTTGTAATACATAGAGTTATCCATTTTATGATCGTAAAAGTAAGCTTGTATAACATCCACAGCTGATTGAGATTCTTAATAAACTTGTATTTTAATGTGTTCTTTGTAACCTTAAATCTTACTATTATGTAAAAGATATAACGTCTTACAGTACCGGGTCTTTCCTGATAACAGGCTTTAGTAAATGCAGATATTTAAAACAAAAAGCTACACTATATGTCAACTTAGTTAGATTTTAGAAATATCAAGTGTTAAAGTTAAAATATTTTCGAAATATACCATAGTTAATATAGTTACCCAAAACAGTTACCCACTGAAATTCATTTTCAAATTAATATGCTGTAAAAATCGGCTTCACTCCATTGAAATTGAAAGCAGGAGTTAATTTAGTCACCCGCAAAAGCTACATCCGTTATATGTTTAGAACAATACTGTGACTTGTAGTTATTTAAATAATTTGGTAAGTAATTTATTCAATCACTGAGTTTCAAACCAAAAATCTTAATTAATAAAATTTTTTTTATTGTATCAAAACTATTTAAAACAACTTTTTGAAATATCGTTTAACATAATTTCGAGTACATGATATATTTTTTGTGTAGTAAAAAACTGTTTAAAGTCATCCTTATTACCATATGGATCACTCATTTACAAGCGGAACGGATTTTAAAATGCCGAGTATATGAGTATTTTATAAAAAACATTTTTTTAAATCTTTATCGTATGAGATACAAATCCATATGTTTTTTTAGCATTTGCATATATGACTCATTTTTAAATAGCCATATAGCAGTACAGCTCTGTTTATCTGGATCCATTAAAATTGGAATCAATTCGGATTACTGAGAGATTGGTATTTCGAAAGTTGTATTAAAAATCCAGTAAAATACAGAATTTATTTGAAATTTCCTTGATTAAGCATATTAATAAATAGAAAATTAACTATATGGGCGAATAAATCATATGCAGATAACGCATAAATATGATTTATTTCATTAGAACAACCGGCAAACATAATTATAAAACGAGATCCGGACTAGAGAATTATTGCTCGATCCAAACTACAATGCACTTAATTCTCATTTTGTATTTTCTTATTTTGTGCGGAATACGAGACTATCTGAATTCCCAGAAATTCAGGAAACCCATTTTTGTATACTCATACTTCGGGCTATGTAAATGATAGAGACGTAAAATTTTCTGCATTGTAAAAACAATAAATTAAAATTGTTAATATTTTAAATATACATATATAGACAATTGTTCATACATATATCGAAATTTTCACTCTTTATTTTAGAATAATTATTTTAGATTTAGATTTATCACAAAATTTTATTAAAGAACAGAAAAATTTTAAACATTTTGCTTAAACACGGTTATTTTTACTTAAAAAATGGATGTCATAAGTTTCAGTAGAATCGAAAATGATGACGTCAAAAACGTCCCACTTATCAAAGAATGAAACCATCTGCATTATTGCGCTCGAAGCTTTTCATATTTTGTATCTGGCACCTACCAGCATAAGCTATTTATACCTGCCCTTATGCAAATCCTATTTTGGTATGCAATCGATACTGGTTATTCCAGTACCGGTATTGAAATTTTCATTTAATTTAAATAAATCTTTAGTTTATTTTCTAACTTTTAACAATTACTCCCAGACTATGATATTTTTTCCATTTTAATTAATTTGATTCTATGGTGGAAAGACTCACATTTGTATAAATCAATTTGTGAAATCCAAAAATGTTTTTTTAATTATCAAAAAGCAATCCATTGCAATAAATTAACATCATTTCATGAATAAAACCATTGAACTAAAAATAAAAAACAAAAAGAAAAAAAATTAATATAAGTAACTTTTCATTACTTTTTCATAAAATTATGTTCCTGTCGATGTGCAGCATTTCACGTTAGCAAAACACCAACCAAGCCATAGTAAATACATTTCCATTAAAAACACACACGCAAACTCAAACTCACCCACACACACTCATAGATGTCGTTTCTTTAGCGACTTGTCCTTGTGGCAATGATTCATTAACATTTGGCTTGATTGACGCACAATTCATTGAGTTGAGGCAATGCTTTTAATATTCAACAGCGTAAAACGTCTAAATTTGACTTTTAAGTTGTACTGTACGCCGATATATGGTATGCCGTTTTGTTTTTACTCTGTCGCTGGCAAAATTAATATTGAAATCAACACACGACACTAGAGCAGCACAACAGGTGCGTTTGCTTTCATGCAAATGAAGTCACGTTCCGCATATAAAGCAAAGCAAATTAAGCATACGAAATCAGTCGCATATTTTACGAAAATGATTTCCCCATTAAACGAAAAGTCGTTGAAAGATATTGAATAAATGTACTCATAATTCAATAAATATAATAAGAGTACTTTGTGATAGAATTTGGCAAAAAAAATTATTGAAAAAGTTTATGCTGTTAAAAAAAAAAGAAGAGATTTTTTATTTAATGTAAGAAATTAAATTATTATTAAAGCTATACCACAGACTAGTCCAACTGTAGCTATACTTGGGTTGACACCTCTGCACATTCACAGTTAATCTATGGCTGCGCTCCACATGAAGTGGAGCTATGGAGTTTTACACAGTTTATCTATGG